AATTTCAATTTACAAAAAATGGTGGACCTATTATTGCACTTCAAGTTGAAAATGAACTTTTTGGTGATCTTGATAATTGGCAAAATGTAAATCAAAGCTTAAAATATTTGGACAAACTTCATCAAATGATTGTTGATGAAAATCATTTCAAACAATTTTTATTTACATCGGATCCAGTTTGGGCAGCTCAAAAATTACCAGTTCAATCATTAAAATATCTACTGGAAACAGCAAATCTTAACGAAAATGCATTGGATGGATTAACACAGCTAAAAAATAAACAAAAAAATCGACCAATTTTTGTTTCAGAATTTTGGCCCGGTTGGTTTGATCAATGGAATGATCCTTCACATCATCGTTATTCAACATTATTATTCGAACAACAAATATCGGAAATTCTTTTCCAGGTAAATGGTTCGGTAAATTTTTATATGTTTATTGGTGGTACAAATTTTGCTTTTTATAATGGTGCACGTATTACAACATCATATGATTATGATGCACCATTATCCGAATCGGGAAATTATACGGAAAAATATTATAAAACACGTGAATTGTATACAAAATTATTGGCAACTGGACGACAACCAGCCATTGAAATTCCATCCAAACCACCATCAATTGTAATGGCAAAAGCTTATGGTGATTTAACAATGAAAGAATATCTTAATTTCGAACAAATCATCTCACAAATGAAACCTATTGTAATGAAACAAGCATTATTTATGGAATTTATTGATAATTCATCTGGTTTTGGATTCATATTGTATCGATTGAAAACTAAACCAATTCAAACATTAAATATAACTGGTAATCTTATTCATTTTATCCATTAATTTATAATTTAATTTGATTTTTATCATCACAACCAGGATCAATCAAAGATCGAGCCATAATAATGATTAATGGTAAAATCTTAACGAAAATTGAAGATGGTGCTAAAAATTTAAGTATCCATTTAAAAAATCCATCTGAATGGTTTGCTAATTCAGATGTAGACGAATATAATTTGGATATTTTAGTGGAAAATCTTGGTCGTGCAGATTATAACATTGCTTTAATGAATAAGGAACGTAGAGGAATAAACAGTACAATTCTTCTTGATGGCAATGTTTGCAACGAAATTCATACATATACTTTTGATTTTAATCAAAATTTTATGAAATCTACTGTCCATTCAAAATGGAATCCAATTACAACGAATGATGATAATGATGAAAAAGGTACACGATTATATCGGACACAATTTCGAATAGAATCCAATCCTACTGATACATTTATGAAATTACCGCCAACCTGTATACCTTTACAAAAGTATTTGTTAAAGTTATAACCTGCAAAACTACATCGTGGACCACAGAAAGCATTATATATTCCTGGTCCATTATTGCGGTCGGGTGAAAATGTAATCCATATTTTTGAATTGGATAAACGTGGTTCGAAAATCCAATTAATCGATCATCCAATATTGGAATAAGAAAATTTTTTTTCCTGAGAAATTCAATAAAATTTATTTTAAAATATATTTTTAAAAATATTTTTCACCTATATTTTGTAAATTTTTAACAAGTTTATCTACAATAATTTCTACATTTGTATCGATTGTTAACTGAAATTTTGACATTTTTTTCAATCGTTTTGTTGGTATCGATTGTACGATATTTGCAAATTGATTACTATCGATAGCCATTTGAAACCATGAATGTGCATCTAATTTTGATTGAAATGCTGATGGTACTGATAACTGTATTTGAATGTTTGATCGATCAAATTTCATTATTAATACCAATGGATTATGGCCATAAAGATCAAGACCAATTTTCATTAGAAAATCTTTTAAATTTTCATCAAAATTCGGTATAAAATCAATATTTAACAATGAAATGATTGTATATGAATCACTTTTCAGCATATGTTTTGATGCTTCCAATTGAAAATGTTGAATAATTTTTTCAATAATTTCATTCGATTCATTTTCCAATTCAATTAATTTCATATCACATTGTTGAAATTTTTTATCAATTTTATCTGTAAATAAACCAAAACGTTGTGATAATGTTAAATCATTTGTAATTAAATCCTGAACTGTTTGTAAATCTTTACGTATTTGATCGATTTCAGTTTGATTATCAAGAAAATTTTTTTTCGATTGAAATTTTCGAATTATATCGATCCGACTATCAATTCGTTCGATACAATCGATTATCACCATTTGATTATGATCATAATTTTCATTAATTTCTATTTGTAATAATTTAGAATATTTCAGTATAAATGTATTTCTTGCTATTGCTGTTGAATATAATCGTAATTCTTCATCAATAATTTGGAATATTTTCGTTGATTGTTGTTCCAGTTCGGGAAATGCTTGACCAAGAATCTTAATAGTTGTATCGGCTGCCAAAAGAAATACATCCGTTTCGGAAACATTCACCGGCAGTGATTGAATTCTTGTCAAAGTTTTTAATGAATCACTTGCACGACGTATAACACGTCGAAGTAGATAACCAGCACCACGATCTGATGGTTCAATACCATCGGCAATAGCAATGGAAATCATTCGTGAATGATCAGCTAAAATACGATAAGCAATATCTTTTTCATCCATTAATCGATGTGAATATTTGGGCCATTTACATAGATTTTGTAATTGTTGAAAATATGGTGTAAATAAATCGGTTGCATAATTATTCGGTACATTTTGTACTAATGAAAGTATTCGTTCTAAACCCATACCAGTATCGACAAAATTTTTGTTCAATCTTTTAAGATTTTCATTTTGATCACTAAATAAATAAAAATCAAATCAAATGAATCAATCGAATCAAAGATTGTTACCGAAAATATTGTATAAAGACTAGATTCCAAATTTCCATTGAATTATCCATCATAAATTGTTTATTATCAACATCATTATCATTCGGTTCTTTTAATAAATAATGTATTTCGGTACATATTCCACAAGGGCCAGTTTGTCCCATTTCCCAGAAATTATCCTTCATACCTAAGGATAATATTCGATTTTTTGGAACACTGAAATTTTTTGAACAAAAAAAAAAATCTTAATAAAACAATCAATAAAATAACAGGAACATTACCCAATCGAACGCCATATTTCATATGTTTCAAGATCGGTTTCTAAACCTAATGATTCATTACCGGCAAATATTGTTACAAACAATCGTTTTGGATCGATACAATAAATTTTTGTTAAAAGATTCCATGCCATACTGCATGCATCTTGTTTAAAATAATCATTAAATGACCAATTTCCTAACATTTCAAAAAATGTATGATGTGTAAAATCTTTTCCAACTGTTTCTAGATCACAATGTTTTCCACCAACACGAATACATTTCTGTGAATTTACAACACGTCGTAATCGTTTCAATTGTTCATTCAAATCATCATTATTTTCCATAAATATCGATTTAAATTGATTCATACCGGCATTAACAAACAATAATGATTGATCATTTTGTAATGGTTTTACCGGACTCGATCGAAAAAATTCATGTTTATGTTCATTAACAAAATAATCAATAAATGATTGTCGACATTGATTTGATGTAAGAAATTGTTTTGTATGATTTAATTGATTAAATTCTGTTGAAAATTTTTGCTGCCGATTGATCATCTGGTTTATCCATCGTGGTTGTAGAATTCTTGGTTTCATATTTTCAAAATTTTCAAAAACAAAACAAAATTCTGGATTCTGAAAATCACATGGTAAATATCACTGGGGAGAAAAAACATTCCAAAATCAACAGATGGCGCTCAAATTTTTTAAAATTTCGAATCCACAAACCAAAAAACATTCGATTCTTCTTTTCTTACCGAATGAGGATGTCCAACCTGATTCGAAAAATGATTTTTTTCTTTCTCTTGAAACAAAATGTTTTCCAGAAATTATCATCCAGCCATTGTTTTTTTTTCTTTTAAATATTGTCATTAAATCATCGAGCTGAGCTTTATTCCTATCTATCAAACGCGTCAAACTCGTCAAAAAACAGCAGCAACAAAAAATATTGACCAACTTCGTGATCATTGGTTTTGTTCCCGACCATTACATTGTCTCTATGTCTCACTATGTTTAACTCTATGTTTAACTTCGAAGCAAGCAAAAAAAGCCAAAAACCGTTATTTATTATATATGCTATACAGCTATTTGCTGTATTTCATTCGTGTGTCCTGTAAACAGAAAAAATCACCATCATCATTCATTCATTCATCCCTTCCTGTTGTTGTTATTTTTTTGTTATTATAATGCATGTAGCATGAAATTTTTATATTTATAAAAAAAATGACAGGTCATTCAAATATTGAGCCAAAAAAAAAGAAAGAAAAACTTTGAGCTAAAAAACAAGTTTCTGCTACGTTTCTTTCCAATGAACTTTTTTTTCCATTTTGATTTTAAATGAATTGAATTGAATTGAAAATGAACAACAACAACAACAACAAAAGTTGTTTTCTTTTTACTACGGCCATGATTGTTATATGATGATCATCATCATGGAGTGAAAACGACAAACTTCTTTCTTTTTGTTGATTATCTTCGTTGTTTTTTTTCTCATTCATTCATTCATTTCATTTCATTTTGATCGTAAGACAACGATAATGGTGATCTTGATGATCATCATCATGATGATGGCATCGTAACGATCTTCATCATCATAATGAAAAGAAAAGAATTCATAGTAGAAAAAAACAAATCGACAAAAAGTGGATCGACAAGTTTATCGAATCATCAAATGCACACAAATGATATATGTGTGTGTGTGTGTTCTAGTTTCTTTTTTTTTGTCTATAAAGAATCAAAAAGTTTTGTTGTTTTTTTTCACGCCATTCATTCAATTGAATGTTTGCACAAGAACAACAGAAAATTTTCTTGCTTTTTTTCTGATTGTATAAAGTGTTAGCCTGTGATGATTAAATGTATTGTATAATTAGGCAATATGTGACTGAGATTGTGTGATTTGATGTTTGTGTTTGTGTACACAAAGAGAGAGAGTTCAAATCACTAATTTAAATTGACAGGAATTATAATTTAATTTTCAATTTTTTTTGTGTCCGCACACATTGTGTGTTTGTGTCAGGGAAAGAAAAAAAGAAAATGCGAATGAGAATGGAATGTATGTTGTGTAAATGAAATTAATTTCATGTTTTCAGTTTGATAGTTTGGTGTGAAGCATCTTTCGGATATGCAGCCAACAAAATTGTTTTTTTTTTTGTTGTTGCTGCCTATCCGATTTTCATAATGATGACATTTAATGTTTTTTTCGATTGACAGACTCTCAAATCATCATCAATATTGTCAAGTGTCAATGTTTTTTTTTTGTTTTGTATGGTTGATTTTGTCTCGCTTTTCTCGTATATTCTATAAATAGCCAAACAAATAGAGAATTCTTTTCAATTCGACATGTCAAGGCGTTATTTCAGTGAGAATGATATGTGTGTGTATTCGGTGTGCATTCGTCGATTACGAGAATCTTAAAGATCCAAAAATAGCAAAATGATGATGATGGTGACAAAGTCGAGTAAAAAAAGATCATAATTCTTTTTTTACGCAACTTTTTTTTCAAAAAAATCACTTTTCTTCATTTGTGAATGGAGCCTTTTTTTGGTTGAATATTCTTTGCACCAATATCTCTATCATTTTCTATTCTGAGATGAATTCCTGTGTGTAACCACCACCACCATTATTATTACTTAATACCCAATGTAATCCATCGTAAGCAGCAATAATTCGTAATAGGAAATGTCCATTAAGTTGACATTTTTATATATTTGCCAATCATTCTTACTCACTTTACTCTGATGCGATGGATAATATTTTGTCATTTTATACATGTGTGTGTATGCAATGTGCGGTGATATATTTATTTAGTCGTAAAAAAAAGAAGCATTATATAACCGGAATTTAGTGTTATATGTGAACAACAGAAAAAAAGCTTTAAAAAGCCCGAAAAAAAGTCCTGTGTGTGTGTGTCTGTATATGTCAAGTATGCCCAAAAAAGTTTTTCTTTCCATTTTCAATGATTTTATTCTAAAAGAAGTTCTGTTCGGTAAATGGCTTTTATTTCATTTTACGAACAAAACTGAAAACGAAAAATACTTACGGCTTTAGGCTTTTGATCAAAAAAATTTCTTTTTCTGGGTTTTTTTTGTTGCTGCTGTTTGTTGTTTGGGATCGACTCAATGGTTCCAGAATTTTGTTTTATTCCATAACATTATGTTACCAAACTATTTTAACTGTATGGTGTTTATGTGTTTTTTTTTTTTGGATTCATTCTCACTTGCCATTACTTTGATATGATGATGATTGTATCCCATGTGGATCACACACACACATGAATTTCATTTTCTCTCTCTCTGGTTCTTTATTCTCTTCCCCTTTGTTATTATTCTGGTCGTTCGATTGCGTGCTGCTTTTTATTTTCCTGTCTGTCGGTTATTTTTTTCCCTTTTCATAGAATCTGTTGAAAATAGAATGGAAATACTATCGTTTTTTTTTGAAATCGGGAATTGTAGAAAAACGAATCCGACCAATGTTTTGATATGACATGACATACACACACACAAAGAGAGAGAGAAACAGAAATTCCGTAATTGACTGTAACGTTAACGAATTCCGTATTTCGGAACATTTTTTTTTGGTGCTTTTGGAACATTATCTTCCTTTCTCAAATGTACACATCATTCTTATCATTCACAACAGGAGGTTTCCAGAATAAATCTTGATCTTGTTGTTGTTTCTCATTTGAATAAAGAATCCTTATTTCGTTCAATGGAATTTTGGTTTAATGGAACAAATGTTTTCCGTTTGATTCGACGCAGAGAAAACAAAATCTGACCAAAAACAAAAAATCAAAAATTACCAATTTTTTTTTGATTCGATTCGGTTGTAATCTGTAAACAGAATCATCAATCAGAATCAGAATGAAATCAATCAAACAATTTCTTTCTTTGTTTGCATTCAATTTCAATCTAATTGAATATTCCAATGGGATGATTTTTTTTTTGTTTTGATTTGTCCAATAAATCCATTTAGTCACACAATATAGCTTCAAGCTATTTCTACTTGAATGATTTGTTTGTCATCATCATCATCATCAGCGGTCCATCTATGTGCATATAGGTGATTTGGGTTTTTATTCGAATTGAATTTCCTGAACTTGTTTTTTTTTGTTGTTGTTTTTGAAAATTCTTGTCGATATTGTTTTTGTGTTTTAACCCTTATCTAATCATAAACCATTTAATTATTAAACAAGAACATTTTCAATTACATAATCGATAAAACTATATACGAAAAACATTTGGTTTTTTGTTTTTTGAAAATTTTCCGAAAAAAGTTAATTTTTTTAAATTTTTGAATTTATCGATTATAATTTGCAGATATTCTTCAATTATACTCGACCAGAATCATCATTTTGATGATTGAATATCGTTTTTTATCGAAATAATCGATAAAAAATTTACTCGAACGCGAAAATCGAATACAAAAACAAAACTGAGCTCAACACACACACACATTGCGCTCACAACAAATGTATTTTGATTTACCATTTTCATACTGTGTTGCCGTACTTACAATGTATGAACAATTTTTTTTTTTCAAATTTTCTCTCATTACTTCAAGTTTTTTTTTAAAAAAATCAAACTAAATCGTTACAAGGATTAAATTTAATTAAAGCAGATCATTTTTATAACTTAAGATCCCTTTGTTAATATTGACACCAAAAAATATCATCATTGTTTTTACTAATTTTATCATCTAACAGGTTGGATTTATAAATGAAATGTATTATACAAATTTCCAAGAAAAAAGCGATTTGGATTATCTTTTTTTATTATCTGTGTTATTTTTATAGTTTTATTACAAAAAAAACCTTTCATTGATCCTGTTTTTTTATTATCGTTTTGTTATCCCTATCCATACATTCTATGTTGATCGTTGTAATTGAAATGAAAATTGGTTGATTGTTTTATAGACTTGGTTGATAGCAACACTAAACACATAAAAAAAATTTCATAACCAAAAACAAAATTTGATGCCAATCAATCAATCAGAAATCCATTTCTTTTTGGTCAAAAAAAACAAACATTGCAATATCCAAATCAAATGATTTTGAATCAATTTTATCATCATTTTGTTATCATTATCATCATAAATGTCATAAATCATTTATTTGATTATATCAAAAGTATGTAAGAAAGACAGAAAAGACAAAAAGAAAAAAAGAAATTTTTATTGTTTGATAACCAAAAATCTAATTAAGTGTTATTTGATAATAACACTTACGTTCTATATAGGGGGAAAAGGGGAATTTCTTTTTTTTTGATAAAATAGAATGAATTTTGATTGATTGATTTGATTGATTGGTTTCATCAATTGATGAGAATTGATTTTGTTTGATTTTACTTGTCAAAGCAATTTTTTGGAATGCTTTGTTTTGTTTGCTTTCTTTTCGAAGTTGCTATAGTTGTTAAACACACAGTAGTTGCTGTCAGAATCAAAGTAAGTTCGAAAATTCGAAACAGGATTTCGATAAATTCGAATTGTAATTGTAATCTTACAAGCGACCAACGTGTTTAGTAATTATAATTGAATCTATAGTATAAAATAATATAGTTTAAATGTTTCAACAGTTGTGATAAAGTCGAAAATGGCGAAATTGTTCAAGTTCCAATTTTCGAACTTTATTTGGTTCTGTTCTGTTCTAAAAAAATAACTATTTTCATTCATTTTCAAACAGCCG